CAGGATCAACCTGGGGTCACTCCAAAGAAACCCTCCTCCTAACTTTTAAAGCTTTAATTCGCCCCATACTTGACTATGCAGCCCCCGCATGGTCCCACGCATCAAGTAACACCTCCATAAATTGCCTGCAGGTTGCCCAAAACCAATCCCTTCGCGTTGTTACTGGATCAAATCTAATGAGTTCCACTGCCCACCTGCACAGTGAATCTGAAATCCTAACGGTCAAAGACCACCATACCCTTCTGTCATCTCAATTTTTTATCTCTACCTATCGTTCCCACCATCCCATTAATTTTATACATTCACATCCTCCTCCTCCCCGTCTACTTCGCCCCTCAATTATAAGCTGCTTCAAAGAAGACACCCAGAAAATTTTAACCGACTTTTCAGTCTACGCAAACCACCCTCTAGTTCTGGACGAGCGAAGTCTCCACTTTTATTTTTAACTACTACAAACCAATTTTAAAAGACAACCATACCTCCCTTGTAACCAAGTTCCTAGCCGAAACCCCTCCGTCTAAAGTTATTTGTATCCCTCCCCCAAAGATTGACCCCTCTGAAAAATCTCTCCCACGTCCCACGCGCTGTAAGCTCTCCCAACTCCGGTCTGGCTACAGCCGGCTCCTTAACACTTACCTATCCCGCCTCGACAGCTCCATCTCCCACCTTTGCCCAACCTGTTCCCTTGCCCCCCACACAACATGTCACCTTTTCAACTGCTCCCAAAACCCCTCCCCACTCACCCCAGCAGACCTGTGGCTTCGGCCGGTAGAGGTTGCTAAGTTCCTTGACCTGGAGACAGAAGAGCCCAACCCGACCCGCGTGGGCTAACAACAACAAGCGGCGCGTAGTGTTATGCTGAGAAGTAACTTGTTTTCAACCTGCTACTTTTGGTGGCATTTTCCACCAACAGGCAGCATCGGCAATCAATAGCATCTGCTTTGAAGTTTCATTTCTAATAAATGAACCCAGTTCATGTGGTTTATATTCATCCAATGAGCCGAAAAAGCTATATGCTTCATACAAGCGTAAAATAATAACACGACAGCTTGTATCAGTGCACATTCCCGAATGTTTCGACTGCCCTTTAACTGTTCTGGCATAGTTTATGGTAAATGAAAAATTGACAAACTGTGAGTTTTAGGCCGATATCAAACTTGAATTGTTTAATTTTGTGTCGTGTATGTAATCAAACCGACTATTTAGCTTGCGTCAGTTCTATTTGGAACGGTTTTTTAGTGCAGGTTAATTCGCTCCGCGTAAATATTTCGCTTTAGATTTTCAGGATCAAACTATAAAACGAAGTTTAGAGAAGTCTCGTGTCATGTTAATATAGTGCTGCGCGCACCAGGCAGGACCCACGAAGATCCAAGGATCGATCCCCCGAGTGAACAATTAATCTTTTGGAAATCGGTTCAAAAAAAATTCAATTTTAGGAGTTTTCTAAATAACTATTAGGAGTTCATTTACACTTTTGAAGATGCCTGTTGGCTATGTTTTTAATTTCAGTTATGTATTGCTCATAATGCGCAAGTAGCTAATAAATGAGAAAGCAAAAACGATTCGATTTCGCACTAAGGCATTTTAACTGGCCTCCTTTATTCGTAACTAAGTTTTAGTTAATAACTAACTACGTCATTGATGTTGCTTTGAGTGGGACTAAGAAATTACTGAAAATTTTTTGGAGTTTATCATTCAAGGTAATAGCATGTAATATTTGTTTTTAAAATCACAGTCTTTAGTGAAGATCAACAAATAGCTATAACGCCTAATTGAACAGTTCTGTTGTCTGATATTTGAGACTAACAAATATCAGTGGTCCAAAAATAATAGGCCGCAGTTCGGTGATAAGGTCATCTGACTTTTGGTGAGAGGTCCAATTCCGAATCTCGTAGTCTTCAAAGTTTTCGTCTTTTTTATATATCAATTACTTGTTTCTGAAAGCCGCAACAGTACTGTTATCTTGGAGATTCGTGATATGTGTTCTTGCTAGATCTCGTTTTTTTACACATGCGGTGGTGCGAACGTAGTGTTAAAAGATGCTGGTGACAAAGGAAAAAGGGTAACCGTAAAGCTTATAAAACAGCAAGAACATGAAAAAAAACAAAATGCTTGAAAATCAACATACAAAAACCTCTGAGACTGAGGTTCGATCAAGAGCATTGGGCCAAAACTCACTTGACTTAAATCTGAACCATACCGTCTTTCATGCATTACTTTTTGAAAATCAAACAATGCAGCGGATAAAGCTAGAAAATGCATAAACTTTGCGCATAACTTCACAAATTACTGCCTTCGAATGAGATGAAAAAATGGACTGAAGTTATGCGCAAAGTTTATGCATTTTCTAGCTTTATCCGCTCCATTGTTTGATTTTCAAAAAAGAATGCATGAAAGACGGTATGGTTGAGATTTAAGTCAAGTGAGTTTTGGCCCAATGCTCTTGATCGAACCTCAGTCTAAGGGGTTTTTGTATGTGATTTTCAAGCATTTTGCGTTTTCATGTGCTTGCTGATTTATAAGCTTTTCGGTTTGCTTTTTTTTCCTTTGTCCCAAGCGAAGCCTAATGTCATATTAAGATATCAACTTTTCTAATTCAAATTACAAATACAAAAGACCTTTTCAAGCTGTTATATTACACCTGGTTGCTGCATAGCAAAATTATCCTTGCGATAAGCTTTTTCCGTAAACATTCGTCCGCAAACAACTAGGCTTTTTCCGTAAACTTTTGTCCACAGGACTCATTGTACTCCTGATTTACCTTGGTTCAAAATGCATTCAAATTTTGTAGTGTCTCTTGCACACAGCATGGTGGTAATGAATACGCCTGGGACGGCAAAGGTCCTGAGTTCGAATTTGACCCCTGCCGATCCAAAGGGTCCCCCCTTTGGTACTTTTTAAGAAATCAATTTTTGGCCGACCCTTCGGCGCCAATATATACTAATTTTGAGGGGGGTGTGCGCGCCGAAAAAAGCAATTTTTTGGTCAAAATTTTCAAAAAAAAGTTCTCAAAAACGCCTTTTTTGGACGGTTTTTTCAAAATTTTGCCTGCGGCGCACAAAATTTTACCAAATCAGGGTTTAAACCGTGCTTAGGGAGAGTTCGAAAGATCAATTCGGTCGACCTAAAAAAAAGGTCGACAAAATATTCAAAATCTTTTCAAAATTTTCAAAAGGTCGACATCTAAGAATCATTTAAGTTGAAAAAAATTTAAGCTGAGGTTGCTTTAAGTATTTGAAAAGTCCGGCCGAATCTAAATTTTCTTTTCACAGTGGTTGTAATTTTCGCAGCTCGATTTATTAAAATTTCACATTTGTTTTCATTTTTTGTCTTTTTTATCGGCTTATTAATTTTTGGTTCAAATAATGTCGACTTATTGGCCTCTTTTGCGTCGTTGTGACCGAAGAAAGCTTACTTACTTGTTAGTGTGCTCTGAGGGGAAGGGAATTAACATTTTTTTTAAGTTCAGAATTTTTTAGGCATAAAGGGTTTCTGCTCAGGTATTTTCGACTTTGTTACCGCTTGGTAATTATTATTTTAAATCCAATCAACCATCCAGTGTTTCTGGCGTAAAGGTAAAACAACAGCGTGAGACGGCAAAGGCTTGAGGTTCGAATCCGGCCGGGCCCTATTTTTTGCAAACTGAGTTTTTGTGCTTTTTCGGATTATCGTCCGTCTTTTTGTCGGCTTGGTTCCCGCAGCTCGATGGTTCAGCTTCATCCAAGTTGCTGTAACCCCCTTGCTTGAGACTACAAAGCCCGGGAATTCCATTCCAGTTTAGACCTGTTTTTTTTTCGCAAATATAAAATTTGGGCTAATTTAGATTGTCTGTCCGCCTTTTTTGTCTGCTCAGTTCCGCAGAATTTTGAAAACTTGCCTTCTTTATAGCGTTCGCGAAGCTCTTTGCTGAGTTTTGTAATGGGTCGGGAAATTTTGCTCTGGATATTTTGGACTTTGATTGCAATTTTTATTGACAAAAGCGATTTTTTGAAGTTTTTTTTGTATCGCAATGGTGCGAAGCTCAGCTTTGCCTCTGTGTATATTTGTATCTGGTTTATCGTTGACAAATGTTCCAAGATTTTTTACGGCGCATAACGCAATTTGCTGGGGTTCGATTCCCTACAAACCAACTTTTTTATTGATTGTATCTTTTCTCTTTTTTTATTTTTTGAGCCTTTTAGAGCTAATTTGTGCCGTTTTGTATGCGAAGCTGCAGCTTTGTCTCAGTCTTAAATTTATGAATTTGTAGCGTGCAAAGCTGTAGCGTGTTTTCATGCTTTGTATAGCAGTTTTCTGTTCATGAAATTTTAATAGCACTTTGTAAGTTTAAATTTTAATTGCTCACTTAAATATGTTGGTAAATTATGATATTGATCTGATCGTAGAAAATCGAAAAAAAAAAGATTGTACAGCTTTTCACAATTGATTTTTCGCCTGGTTCGAGTACGTCAACTGGGCTTCTATGAATCAGAAGGCCAATAGAAAACGACACGATTGTGTCGAATTATAAAAATGTGAAACAATTCGCAGCTTTTTAGGGTTTTTCCTTCATCCTCAAGCACGCTAACAAAGTGATAAACCCTTTTAAAGGCAATAAATATATATCCACCTATAGCGTGGTTGTACCATAATGGGACTATAATTGAAAAGACCTCTTTTTTACAGTCAGTGTTCTCTGCAGTCACTTTCACACCTGAGCACTGGCATGTATTTTTGTGTCGCAAGTAAGCTAACATGGGCTTCCTCTCTGTGTTTCAAGTTCAATTCGAAATCATTTGCTAACAGGAAAGCAAATTAAGCAGGAGTTTAATGACCAATTTTCAATTGTTTTCTATGTTTTCTCTTTTTCTGCAGTACGCTTTGTAAAAGAAAATTCAAGGAGTTTACAAATGTCTTCATTTAGGGATTTTTTAAAACTTTTATACTATCTTAATATGTGATGCTTGTTGGCGATTTAATTTCCCTGTGCTGCATTATTTACAATTCGGTCGTTCTTTTAGGTTCGCAAGCAGTCTATGTCAGTTGCCAAAGCATTGGGTAAGTTCGGTCTATCTCGCGGCGACTGTGTCGTCATTTTTGCCCTCAACCGAGCAGAATGGGACATCACGAATCTCGGATGCGTCTTCGGAAACCACGTGACGGTTCCATTATACGACTCTCTCGGCCAAGACGGCTTTAAGTTCGTCTTGAATCAATGCGAAGCAAAAATCGCTTTCTGCGGCGACAAGTCAAAGGTCGAAACAATTGTAGCAGCTAAGCAATCAGGAGCTCCTATTTCTCATGTAATTTTCTTTGAAGAGTTCGATGAGAAATCGCGAGGCGCGTTGAAAGATGTAGAAGTTTCATGCGAATCTTTCGAAAATTTCATGGCCAAAGGAAACGAAAGTTTCGGACACCCAAAAATTCACGAGTCGGAGGCGGAAGAAGACGACGTCGCGACTATTATCTACACTTCAGGAACGACCGGTAACCCGAAAGGAGTTGTGCTCACCCACAAAGGATGGGTTGCATCGATAAGCGCCGGCTACTCGGTGGTAACATACGGAAAATATGGCGCAGTTTTGAACTCATCTTCGGTCATGTTTTCGTATTTGCCGTCGGCACATTCCTTGAACTTAGCGGCAACGTATATAATATTCGCCGTGGGAGCTTCTGTCGTTTACTACAGTCGAGATGTGAGTCGACTTATGGAGGATTTGAAGACGGCGAAACCGTCTGTGTTGCCAATGGTACCGAGACTACTTAACAGAATCCATTCCAAGATCCAAGAGGGAGCGAGTAAAAGTACTCTGAAAAGAAAGCTACTCCACATGGCCATATCTGACAAGCTAAAGCGCATCGAAGCTAGATCCCAGACGCCAAACTACCTGTTCGAGCTAACTGTAATGAGGAAAATCCAGAGAAGCATGGGCGGAAATGTGAAAATCATAATGACCGGGAGTGCGCCTATCAGCAAAGAAGTCATGGACTTCTCCCGGGCGGCCTTTGGATGTCCCGTAATTGAGGCGTACGGCCAGAGCGAAAGTTTCGCCGGGATCACGGCAACTATTCCCGGCGATATTCAAACAGGCCATATTGGACCACCGCTGAAAACTATGATGATTAAGTTAGTTAATGTAAAGGACATGGGCTATAAAAGCGCTTCGGACGAGGGTGAAATTTGCTACAAGGGAACTAATGTTATGCGAGAGTACTACAAGAACCCTGAAGAGACCAAGGAAATTGTTGACGAGGAAGGCTGGGTTCATTCGGGCGACATAGGGCGCTGGTTACCGAACGGCGTACTCAAAATAGTCGACCGGAAGAAGAATTTGTTCAAGCTCTCGCAAGGTGAATACATTTCTGCGGAAAAAGTGGAAAATATTTACATCATGAGCAACTTGGTTAACAATGTTTTTGTTCATGGCGACAGTTTGCAGGATTTTTTGGTAGCAATTGTCGACATAGATGATGAAGCGGTCCAGAAATTTCTGGCTAATCAGATTTCAAACGGGAAAGGCGATAATGCGGAAGATTTTAGTCGGCATATGTTAAATTGCGAGAGAAATTCAGAACTGAAGAATCATATTCTAACGGATCTTCAGAAGTTCGCAAAATCGAAAGGACTGAGCTCGTTGGAAACCGTGAAGAACATACACTTCGCCGAAGTTCCCTTTACTGTCGAGAACAACATGTTGACTCCTACTATGAAGCTAAAGAGATTCCAAATTGCCAAAACTTTCGCAAACGAACTGAAATGTTTGTATATAAAGAGCTCTACTTTTCTATCTAAGCCAAAATAAGTGTACAATACACAAAATTTTTGCATAAAATCCTAAAATTTTTTATCAAGTTCTGACATTTAAAATTTTTTATCAAGTTCTGACAACTAAAATTTTTCTTGTTTTGGCATTTCAATTTTCCGTACTAAAAACCTTTTCAGTTGAATAAAAACTAATTGTAAAAATGTGCATTATTTTACTTTCAGTTTTGCTCCATTTATTTCACTTAAATGATCCCATCACATTAGTGGATTTAGGTTGGACCCCCCCCCCGTAGAGATCCGACCCCCTCACTGCCCAAAGGGTCTCCCCTTGCTACTTTTGTACTACATCATTTTAGCAGGCCGACTAAAGTGTTTCTTAAGGAGCCTTTGTGTCGATTTATAGTAATTGTAAAGGGTAGCTCGCTAAAAAAGTTAGTCGAAATCTTCCAAAAAAAGCCTAACAACGACGGTTTTTCTTGTTTTTAAGAACTTTGCCCGCAGCTTGGAAAATTTGCTCAAATAGAATCCTAGTGTTCTGAGAGAGCTCGAAAAGTTAATTTGGTCGACATAAAAAAAAATATATATATATATATATATATATGTGTATATTGAAAATCCGGTCATTCTCGAGTAAACCTTCGATCCGCGCATGTCCAATCATTCCCCGCAGGTGCAATTTGTCTCATTTTTCCATGCTGCAGTTTACTAGTTTCGCAATTCAAAGTGCAAATAAATCATAATAGACTAATATAATAAATTATAGTGCATAAATTCGTATAATTTAGCTCGTTTTTATTTGCTGTCACAAAAGTGTTGAAAACTCATTGTATTTTTATTTCAAATTTAAAGTTATCACCATCAAATTGTTGGTTTGCATTTATCTTAGTCGTTGTGACGAGTGCCAAATTTATTCTACTCTTGTCTGAGGAAATTTTAAAATTAATTTTTTCTAGTTATTTGATTAGGATGGTAAAAAGCAAAAGTTCATAGACGAAGCTCGACTAAGCAGACAGTATGAGAGACGCTTTCGCATCGCTTGAAGTTTGGTAAAGTTATTTCGGATAATCAGCAAACCGTCACATCTTGAAGCCGAAATTACATCAGAATTACGTAAACTAGATCACAATTAAGTAACTATTGCAGAAGAACAGTGACCATCTGTTGTTGTTGCATAACAAGAATAATTTTCGGCTTGTTGGAGTGGTAATCCTATTTTCGGTTTGTTGGCCCTCGGCTTGTTGGCCTACCACCAAATTCAAATTATCAAACCAGTGTTTCACATTAACATGTTGATTTTTTTGATGGCTTCAACGTGAAAGTTGCCATGGAAATAGAAGCAATTAAGCTATCATAAAACCTAAAAAGTCTGATAATGAGGTGAAAACGGAAAGTGCTTTTTTTCACATTCTAAATAACGGATGTTGCTATCATCTCAGTAGTAATCAGGTCTTGTTTCTCATGAATTTATCTTTTTGGTGTCCGACAAATAGGAAGATAATTTTTTCAGGTCATTTAGGTTTTTTGAGATTAAAAAGTCATTTCAGCTTGCACTATGGTTGCAGTTATTTGAATTTAAAATTTTAGTACTGCATGAAAATTTCATGCGAGCTTAAGTATCCATTCTGATAAGTTTTAACGTTCATTTACTCGAATTTTTTTTTTTAGCTGGATGCATTTCGAATTGTACCATATGAATTTGAGTTCATTTTCCTCAAATTGCCATGTTTTTGTCAAATCTTTTCTACAGCTTTCCGATAATCCAATTTTGCTAACAGATAGCAAGCAAAAACTTGTAGTCCTAATATTTTCTTAATGTACTATCGTCTTACGCATTAGTCTTTTTACAACTGATATGGGACAATGTTATCAAATCGGTTCTAGATTTTATTTTTACATGAAACACTTGTATCAGTAAAACATTGAATGTCTCTTGTACATCCACGTAACAGGGAGTAAACTTCGTTAAATTTTATGTCAGCTGTTCACAGAATCAGAGTAACGCTCGTGTTTTTCTGTGGCAACGAATATTTTCTTTTTTTTTCTTGTGTTCACCGCTGAAGGAAACGTGTGCATTCTCGAACATTACACAACTTGGCACGCTGGTAGCACATTTAAAAGTTGACCCTCATTATTTTATCAAGTATATACTGTGCATGCTGTTGTTAATAATTGTTTATTCCCAATGGTTTACTTTCTGTTACAACGAAAAACTCGAAAGCAAAATCAACAAGCATTTTGTGTGTTACGTGAATTTAACCCTTTATTAGAGCCAACAAAAATTGTTATTGATATCGAAAAAGCAGCAATTTCTGCTTTCAAATCGGAATTATCCACAGTGTCCGCAAAATGGGGCTTTTTTCATTTTGCGCTGGCCAATTGGCAAAAAATAAAAGAATTGGGACTAGCGGTTGAATACAGAAAAGACTAAGGCTTAAGAAAGAAAGTGAAATCATTTAATCCGGTGGCTCTTATTCCTGATTGCGAATTGAAGTTGTCTTTAGAGCTCTCTACGCATCAACAACTGAAACTGAGCAGCTCTGGTCATATCTCGATTATTTCGAGAGAAAAAAAGTAGGTGGGGAAATATGTACGTGTGATTCTAAAGAAAAAAAATCCAGGTTTCGAACCAGCTATATGGAATCAGTGCATCAATGCAATAAATGGAAATAAAAAAACCAACAATTCCGTCAAAAGATGGCATAGAAATTTTCATTTAGGAATGTGATTTTCTCACCCCACTGTATCAAAAGTTCTGTGCAAAAAAAATGAAAAAAAGTTTTTGAAATCTGAATTTTTTTTAATTTTTGTTTTTCTAGTCAGTTGCCTAAAAACTGATTGTGTTCTATTTGCATGTTTTACTATGAATGTCAAATATGTCCAAAATAAAGTTTCACATCAAACTTTTTTTAACCGCTCGCCGAAAAACTAATTTGAAAAAAAAAGCTTTATTTTGTAGTTTTCTTAAAGACTAAGGTCGGAACATTCAGTGGTACTTGCACAGTAACCGGCTATCCTTGTTTTTAAATAACTTTGAAAGCTGACCACGCGGTTTAATTTTCGATTTTTATTTACTTTAATGCAGTTTTCTAAATAAAACCTAAAATCGCTCTCAATTAACTCTTTTGAAAAATGGATTTCAATGATACTGTCAGTAACGGTAAGTTCTTTATTGGAAATCAGGAAGATGACTCAATTAACCATCTGCAACTAGAACTCTTTTTCCTTTTCCCACCTCACGCGAGCATCAATTTTATGGCGTAACGAGTGGTTTCACAAGGTTAATTATGACCAAATATGTTTGCCATGGCCTAATTAGTCCGTATCCCATTTTTCATAATAACGAATAATGTTAACAAAATTATATTTGTAAATTTCGCAGATGGGGGAGGGAATAAAAAAGAGCCTGTAACTCCAATTAGAGCATGATAATTGCTATTAAAACCACCGATAAGCAAAACCGTACACGCCTTTCAAATAAAAGAATCAACTTGAGGTTTGCATTGATAACCATATCCAATCTGAAGAAAAGTACCATCAATCCGGTTTTCTAATTGGGTAAGTTGCAAAAAAAATCAAGCATTTTTTTGTAGCCAAACGGAGTATCAGTTGAAGATAGCGCAAATGCTCACTTTGTTGTACACAACTGACAATTCGCAATAAGTTTTTAGGTATATTTTGTCTTATTGGTTTCAACTTTTTTTCAGTCGGCCTGCTTTTTGATGCATTTCTTCTTCACAAACAGACGGTTCAGTTTTTGTTTAAGAGTAATGAACATAATGAAAACTTTTATTTAGGTCTTGCTGATTTTTTTGTTTTTTTTTTCAGGAAAAAGGTTTAAAATGTGCATAAATGCCTTATAACTACAGATGTGCATTCATAAATATTGATGCATTTATGGATGCACTTAGGAATATATGCACTTTTTGAGTTCAATTGAAATTCATCTGCTCAAAGTGACGTCACTAGTACTCTCCAAATACGAACGAAATGGCGCGAAAAAAAAAGATTCGAAAATAGAATTTGATTGTTAGCTTTCCAACGGAATATAAACGTCACCTGTTGATCCAGTTTTCTCACATTGGGTTGGTTTTATCAAAAAAGCGGTAATTATAAATCGTTATAAAAATTCAAAGTGCTTAAAGGATATTTATTTTTTTCTTTGAAGTTCGAAAGTTGAGATTTTTTCGACAAAGTCAGTGTTTTTTTTTATAATATTTACTTGCGTTCATTACTCTTTTCCAATCTTCGATTGGCTATTTTTTCAATTTTTAACGTTACATTAGGCCATGCTTGGGACCATGGTGTTTTTTTTTGCAGCATTGAATTAAAAATGCATTAAAATTTTTTGCCAAAAGTGATATATTTTGGTATTAGTTTTTTTACAATTGAACTTCTTGACTTTGATTTTGGCCAGTTTTAGTACCTTCTCTTCGAGGCCACAATGTTTTCTTTGTAGATTTTGTTGGGTTGTATATGCATGTATGCAATTCAATGCGAGTTTGACAATATAGAAGCTCTTTTCGGCATTAAAGTGGGAACTTAGGAGTTGTGGTCTTTCCCATATCGTCCAACCCTGCCTATTAACTAAAAGTTATAAACCATCTCAAGTTGAGATTCAAATCATTGTGATTACCATTAATTATCGTTTTTTACATAATTTCAAAAGAACTCTCCTTAGTGTTGTTGGTAACTGCTCACAAACATCGATTCGTATGCTGCCCCGTTTCGTTTTGTCGTTTTTCATATAGTTTTTTACAATCTCAATCATGGATATTAATTTTCTGCGGCGTCTTGTCTGTCAAACAGTGGCTCTGGCGGTTGCACAGTGTTCGCTTATAGTGGGAAAGCCCCCTATTCCACTGCTGAGTAAACTCCGGCTCTAGCAGGCAGCTTGTGGTTAGTGCGAAGAACCGAGAAAAACTCCTAACGTGAGTTGATTTTTATTTTCTGGGGAACCTACAAAACCCCTCCTCTCCAGATTTTGTATTTAAATCCAGTTGGTGACTTCGGCAGAGTGGTCTCACAGGTCTGTAGTATGTGTTGTTGGTTTAACCGGACAGTTAAAAGGGTGAAGTACGTCATGAGGACTATAAAAACAGTTAGGACAGATGCTGTTGGCGTCTTTTTTTAAATTCTCGATAAGTAGCTGCTGAGATGAGTGCTATATATGCAGCGCAATTGAGCAAGAAGGGATATAGTACGACGAGGAAAGCGACTTTCCTCTTGTGCTACATGTAAATTCGCTGAAGACGGAGATTCGTTGAAACTCTTTTTTCTTCCTTACTTTACAAGTCTTAAATGTCTTTAAATTCATCAATCATACCGCAGAACTGGAAAATGGGAAGAGTATCTCCACTCTCTAAACCGGGAAAAGCAAAAAAGGAGGCCAAAATAACAAGCCGATTGCACTCTTATCTTCAGTTGCGAAACTGATTGAAATGATGTTATTAGATGAGTTTAATAACATCAAAATTACCAACCATCAGTATGGTTTTAGGAAAAATGGAGTGTCACAAGAGAGTTTGTTTAGAAAATGAAATGGTTTCATGCAAAAGATTAGTTTCAGTTCAGCTTCAGGGTATTTTTGGAGGGGTCAATTGAAAAGCTTTTACTATGAAGTTTCGTTTTCAGAATAGATGCTGCAGAGAAATTTGCTGTTTTGCTTATAGGTTTTCGTTTCGGAAATTTCGAAAGTTTTAGGTTCTATTTGAATCATAAGTCATGCGAAGCTCTGCTTAGTCTGTATGTAATAATTTTCTAATTTGAATTGCCCTCTTTTTTGTTTGTTCGTGGAAATAATGAACTTTTGTAGAGTTAGAAATTAATTATTTAACTTGCGAAAAGTTTTGCTGTCTTTATATTT